TGAGGAATTGCACTGTAGCACTAATAAAGGAAAATACTGCTTGAGCTGAATGCAAACACGCACTTGGCACGAATGATGTGTAGTACTAATAAAAAAAAAAAAAAATCAAATACACTGACAGTCGTAAGATGATTACTACTCTTATGTGGCCAAAGATGGCGGTTGACAAACTTTTTCCCTCTTGTTTTGAAGGGAAAATAAAAATTGAAAAAAAAGCAGTTTTGGAAAGGGGTAGATTTAGAGTAGTATTCGATTACAAGCGCACCCCTGCGCTGCCTGTGGCCGAGACTGAGAGGAGGGGAGAATGCTAAAGTTCCTTTTTCTTATCAGCAGAAGAAGAAGGGGGGTAACCGCGTTACTGTGTTAAAGTAACAACGGTCAGGAACACAAGCCGAAACAGTAATACTTAGAAAATTAATTAAATAATCAGTGAATAATGATTAAACTTACACTACTGAAGTCCTAGTGCTTTGCTGTAACTGCAGGTACAAAAAAATCTCTTGTAAGGCTGAATATTCCGTTCACCGTGAAGCAAAATGTGGGAGCAAAATTCATACAACCTCTTATCTCTGCGTATAGACGCGCTTTTTGGAAATTTAAGTGAAATAGAATTTTCTGTTCCTTGCAATTATCAGATGTTAGGTTCAGCTCAAACATCATTTTCACAAAAGAGAGCTGCATATAGCTCGCTTGTGAGCAAACTATTTTTATCGGTTATTTGCAGTTAGTAGATCCAATGGTGAATATTCAGTTTTGGTATTTTTTAAAAGATGTTATGTTGTGTTTTTTAGTGTATTTGTACTACTGCTATTATTTTGTGTATTTTTCAACATACAGAATCCATTGGTGTGAATAAATGCAGTAAAGCTGTTTGCATAAGTTTATAAATATTTTTTAAAATTAAATTAATCACCACAGCTGGCAAACTTGTTAAATTATTCAAGTCATGCCACTGGTAATATTTTGCTTTTTATGCGGCAAATTTCTGACTAAATTAGCAAAAGTAATTTAAGAAAATCCATACCATTAAATATTTGAAGACAGGGTAAAGAATGTCAATCTTTCATCTAAGAAATCGATGGGGAAGGGAATTGAAGACAATGCATTTCTGGGGACATCATATAAAATCAACCTTAGAAACTTCAGAACCATTTTTTTCCATCCATTTCAATTGAATGGCTGAGTTTGATGGAAGCTATGCTTGTTAATGGGGCTTATGCTTATATATAGGTATCTTCCATAGTGGCTAAACCTTATAAACTTATTTTTTCTTAATAACTTGAAAAACTGCTTATTTTGATGTTATAATCTATTGCTACCACTTGGTAATTTATATCGTGTGTTAAACTCTTAATTATAGAACATATGTGATTTGAATATTAGATAAATCTTAGAATTTTTGCTGTAAAACATACTAAGCAATTTAGTTACTCTCTATTTTTCGGAGCAAATTAAATTTTTGCTATGAAAAGGCAGAGAAATTCAAAAGGATTGAAACTACTTTGCACATTTGGTATCAATTTTCTTTTCATGATAAAGACATTACCAGTATCAAGACTTTATGAGACATTACCTAAATAAACATCAGTTTAACTGCTTGACTGTGTTTCCAAAGTAGCTAATTTTTCAGAATTTCATCACATGTGTTGGTATTATAGTAGTAGACCATAGAATCTTCTGGTTTTTGATTCTTAGCCTTTGCTAAGGAAAATGTTTCCCTGCAATAAATGAAATTTATTGAACTGCTGAAATTTAAATTGCAAATTATTACCATTAGCATTTTTCAGTATAATTCCTTTTATTAAATTTTATTTTCATTGTTTTAATTTACTGTACACATTTTACAAACTTTTTATGCATATTCAAGTAATGTTTAATAATTTATAATAAGATTTAATTAGCTTCATTTCAGTGTATAGTATGTTATTAAGCCTATTCATGGAAATGCATGTACATCAATTATTAATTTTAGTTTCATATCATATTATAAATAAAAGCTTTCTTTCCCGTTAGGATTTTCTTATTTAAAAGTATAAGAAAAGTACAAAATGAAATTAGCCAAAGGACATGAAATTTGGAATATGAACTAAATATTAATATATTTTATGTCAGAATCATATTATAAATTGTTTAATAACCTGAACCATTCATTATAATATAAATTTATGTCAGTTTGAAGTTTTTTGCAAATGTAATTGCTTTGCAAATAAAAACTCTTAGAAACTCTATGCTTTCATGCAAGAACTTCTGGTTTTTTCATATTTTAAGGTTGGCTACTGTATATTTTCATGACTTGGCATTTTGTAATTGATCACCGAAATTACAAATAATTTCTTGCCATGATTATTCTTTTGTGGGTATATTTTAGATATACACAGAAGTAGGTGGTATCTTGAGGTAGGTGTGACACAAAAATAGTATAGTGTTTTTGTGCTACACCTACTCAAGATATGGCAGTTATGGAACATTCAGTTGCAAGAAACAATTAACACTTTACCGACTGGTAGCGGTTCGGTACCGGTGCCCTTTCACCGCCCGCTCAGCCGCAGATTATCCGAGACACCGGCTCGGTTTCGGCCTAGACTAATGCGCGGGAATATATGTGCTTTTCTTAAACTCTGGTAAAATTGTACGCTTCGTGTTATTGTAGGGTAACGAAATTTAATAAAATCTTTTACTTTAATCATATTAGTGTTAAACAATATTTATTTTATCTATTACATTCGTTTTCAGTTTATTATTTACATAAAATATACCATAATCCATATAACAATATTTGTTGAAAAAAGGAAGTTGTTTAATATTTTTTAAACTATATAGCGCTCGAAACAGTCACCTTTGTGTAGTGGGACATTGCAGTATTTACAAGTGAAACCTGTTCTGCTTATTTTTTTTTTACTTGCACAAACTCTGCATTGTCGTAGGGGTTTTTTACATTGACCGCTGGTCACTATATTTACTAGTTTATGCTTTCCGAAATTTGCCAGTCTTCCGGGATGATCAAATCGGGATGTGGTTCTTGTGGGTTCGGAATTAGGTAGATCCTTACCTTGTTCTTCAGTTTCGCAGTCTTCTATCAATGAAAGTGCCGCTTTGTGCAGAAAATTTTTATATGTAATCTTCTGTCCGTTCAGAGTTGTATATACTTTAAAGGAGTTAAAAAGTGCACAATTGATGAAGAACATTACGACACGTTTCGTCCATTTTTTTGTTTTCCTAAAAATGGAGTAATAGGACAGATATTGATCTGCGCGATCTACGCCCTTCATATATTTATTATAATCTATTATTGAAATAGGCTTCTGTATGGGGCAATCTGATGTCCTGCTTCTGTTTCTAGATTCCGCCATTTGTGCAGAATGTATTGTCGATATCATGTTTACATTCCTTTTGCCATTATTCCATACTTGTAATAAAATATGGCCATTTCTAAGAAATTGATGTTGGCCTCTTGAAAGCTTGACCGTTTGAAGTATTTGAGGAAGACCTCTGTTCTTTCGAATCGTCCCGCACACTCGCAATTTATTTAAAAAAAAAAAAAAATTTAGCTATGTTGACACTACTATAATAATTATCTTGATATATATGGTGCCACATGTTCTTATACAGTCCAATGACCGATAATACTGTCTTTTCTAATTTTTTTCCATCAGCGGCATACACACAAAAGTTGGATACGTATCCTGTACGAGCTTCAGACAGCACTCTAACCAGTATTCCATATTTTGTAATTTTTGCCGGATTATATGTTTTGATTGACAGTCTACCTCTCCACGGAATTAAACATTCATCTAGAGACAATTGTTGATCTGGTTTATATACGTTGTTAAATTTTTCACCAGCCTATGCGAATATGGAGAAATATCGTTATTATTACAAAAATGCCAGCTTTGCATTATTTGTAAAAATCTGTTCCTGCTCATAAACTTCGAGAAGAATGGCGTTTCTATAGATGGGTCTGTAGACCAATAATCGTAGAGAATGTCCTTCTTTACTTGTCCCATGAGAATGATCAGGCCCAAAAATTTCTTCATTTCAGTCACCGTGACGTCTTTCCATTTTTTCGTTTTTGATGTAATTCTATATTTTTCCACAATTTGATAATGATATCTATTAGACTCCCTCACGAAGTGCTCAATCAGGTCACTTCCAATGAATAAATTCACAATATCCATTATGCTTTTGGAGGAACTTGGCATAATTTTTACGCCAGAGCTGCCTTCGAAAGGTTCCAAAATTATACTCTTGTCGTTCATTGACCATGTATCATTGTTGTCTTCAACATTATTATTCATGTCCTCGTCTTCTGAATCACTGTATATTAGCGGTAGAGGATGTCGTTTTCAAGTGGCTATACTACTGCTATCACTTTCATCATCACAACTTCTTGCTGAACGACAGTCAAGACAATCTGACATGTTGTTGAGATAAAACTCACCGAGACTATCCTTTTTATTCATTTCTAAGGGCTAAAGAAAAAAGCACCGATTATCTGAATAAAGAATGCGAAATGCTTTCTGCTTGCTGATCTAACCTAACCAAATCTAACAGAAAGATAAAAAATCGATTAATCGACGACCGGTGGGTAAGCGCTGGGGATCAAAAGTCGATTAATCGACGACTGGTCGGTAAGTGCTGGGGAGCAAATGTCAATTAATCAACGGCCGGTCGGTATACGCTGAGAATAAAACGTCGATTAATCGACGGCCGTTCGGTAAAGTGTTAATGTATACTTGCTGAAGTTTGTGTGACAAGAACTTTATTATGTTTCATGTATATCATTTGACAATCACTCAGTACATAGAAAAAATTTAAGTCTTTGTGTTGCAAGCAAAAGTTTGGTAAGTGGATACATCAGTAGTTTCTCTGTGATGAATGAATATTTAATACCAAAGATAGAAACATTCATTTTGTGATATATTCTATAATATAAATTTTACTGTCCAATTGCTTTTATATCATGTAATGAATTCAGACTAATGAATAATGTGTTTGGTTAGCTCGTTGTCAGCCATCTGAATTTCAGTGTGGTGATGGAACATGTGTAGATGCTGTAGTTCGTTGTGATGGTAGAAATGATTGCCCAGATCGTTCTGATGAGAGAGACTGTGGTTAGTATTAATAATTTAATTACTTGGTTTGTGTTATGACTTTTTCAAATATGCTCAGTTGTACTCTAATAAAGTAAATATCATAATTCGGATTATTATTTTCATCTACATCAGCATTTCTTAAACTGTGTTCCACAGAAACCTGGCGTTCCATAGATCACTCAAAGGTTTTATGAGATTTATGTATGTTTAAGAAATTATAGTTGTCGTAAGTGCGACAGTCTGACATCACCACCAGGACAGTGTTTGGTATTCTTCAACAGCTGTACTGGGGAATTGACCAGAATTCTGCTACTGATGATTCTCATGCTTATTTTTTTAATCAGTGCTACACATGGGGAAACCTTGAGTTTGAAAAATACAGGAGAATTCAATATACTTGAATATAAAAGGGTGCTGTGAATACGATGAGTGTCTCATAAAATATAAATTGATTGAAAGTTTTTTTATTTTAATTTTTAGCTTATTGATAAACTTCATTGGTCATTATAACATCACATCACTCATACTCTTCCATAAGATTAAAAAATGAAAAACACAACATCTAAGGGTTAGGGATGCACAACCTGTGGCCTGTCGAGACCTTTTCAAACTTTTGTTGCGATTTGACATATCGGTTGTCTCTAGAAGGGGTTGCGAGCAACAAAAATTTCACCACTCCCCCTTCATTACTCATTCTACTCTGTCTCCTCGAAGTGAGATTTGGCATTGAGCCAAGTTCCCAATGTCAACCAAAGCATGTATCCACTGCCTGAACATAAAAATGGCTCCTAGCCCCTCTAGGACCAACACCTGTAGAAGATTGAGAAAGAGTCTGTGGTATGACGTAGCTTGAGTGTGTTTGCATGCATGCACTAGTAAAGTGGAAGAGAAAAATATTTCCTCGGATCTGAAGTTGTGCATTCATTTGCTGGGTGTTGTTACACTTTTGGCTTCATAACTATACATTATTCTATCACGTGTATGTTTATTTTTATCTTTTTTTTTCAAGACCATTAAGAAGTTTCATGTTTTGAATATTTCACTTTTCTGTTTAAATATTATTTTGAAAGTGGAACCAATGCAGAATTTTTTGAAATTTTTTTCCCTACGGTTTGGATAGTTGCCATGATGAATGGATGCAAAACGAAAAGGAAGCAAATGATGACAGGGAATTTTTGGAGGCCTGTACTTCGAAATACTTTTTTTGTAGAGCAAAATAATAGAATTACATGCTTGATATGTAATTTTACGATTACTGTTTGCAAGGAGTTTAACATTAAGCAACACTATGACACGAAACACTCAACATTATCAAAGCTTGAGGGAGAGGATCGAAATTGTAAAATAGAATCTCTTTGCCATTCTCTCGTTGCTCAAAGGAATGTATTTACAAAGTTAGTTTGGGAATTTCAGCCTTAATTGCTTCTGAGAAAATATGCCCTGAAGCTACGCAGAAATTTAAAAATGCGAGTCTCAGCAGAATGACAAATCAAAAAAGAATTGAAAATTTATCTGATGATGTTACTGAACAATTAGAGAATGCTGCCGCCAAATTTAAGTACTTTTCTCTAGCAGCTGAGTCAACAGATATTATTTCAACAGATCAGCTTCTTTTGTTAGTCAGAAGAATTTCTAAAAATTTTGAGGCAACTGAAAAACTTGTTGGAATGAGTTCAGTGAAAGGGCGAACAACTGGAACTGATATTTTATCCTCAGTTTTAAATTTGTGTTCTGCATATAATTTTGATGTTAACAAACTTGCTAGTAGCACTACTGATGGAGCTCCTGCCATGATTGGAATTCAGAATGGCATGGTGAGTCTGAGAAACCATTTGGATGATAGAGGAAAAGATTTGCTTGGGTATCATTGTATCATACACTAAGAACAGCTATGTGTGAAAGAACTAGGATTTGATCACCTAATGAAGGTAGTGAGCAATACAATTAATTTTACTCGCTCACATGGTTTAAACCACAGGCAATTTAAGGAAATCCTAGAACACACAGATGCACCACATAGTGATCTCATATATTACTCTGAAGTACGATAGTTGAGCCATGGAGAGGCTTTGAAAAGGTTTGCTGATCTGATTGATGAAACAATACCATTCCTTGAAGAAAATGACAAGCAAACTAGGATGTTAAAGGAATCATCTTTCAAGTGTGACTTAGCATTTTTAGTTGATGTGACAGCCCATCTGAATGACCTAAACAAAAAGTTGACAGGAAAAAACCAGTTCATCAATCGCCTGGCTGTCAAAATTTTGTCAGTTTTCCTTACCTGAAGAAACTCAAAGAAAATTTTCCTGATAAACAACTGTATTATTGAGATCAAATAGAGAAGCTGCTTATTTCTTTTGAAAAGTGATTTGCAGACTTTGAGTTGCATAAGGTTAAATTTAAACTGTTCAGGGGTCCATTTTCTGTTGTAGTTGAAGAAGCTCCAGAAGATGTTCAAATAGAACATATCAATTTACAAACTTCTGACTTATACAAATCCAGATTCTGTGATTTAGATATTCTGGACTTTTATAGAACTCTACCTGCTGAATTTTTGCGATTAAAAAATAATGCAAGCAGATGTGCTACCATGTTTGGTAGTACTTATATATGTGAACAAACATTTTCTCTTTTGAATCTAAAAAAGTCAAAATTATGAAATAAACTGACAGATCAACACTTGCAATCTGTCAATTAACAACTAAATTTCAACCAAATATATAAAAAATTGTTGATAAAATTCAATCTCGACCATAACGCTAATGTATTTAACTATGGCTAACTTGTACACATTTTTATTAAAATATAATATATTCTCATATATTACTTTGAAGTACGATGGTGAGCCTTCGAGAGGCTTTGAAAAGGTTTGCTGATTTGATTTATGAAACAATACTATTCCTTGAAGAAAATGGCAAGCAAACTAGGATGTTAAAGGAATCATTTTTCAAGTGTGACTTAGCATTTTTAGTTGATGTGACAGCCCATCTGAATGACCTAAACAAAAAATTGATTGGAAAAAACCAGTTCATCAATACCTGGCCATTGCAGTATCTGCTTTCAAACTAAAACTCCAGCTGTTCTCAAAGAGGCTTGGTTGTCAAAATTTTGTAAATTTTCCTTACCTGAAGAAACTCAAATTTTTCCTATTAAACAACTGGATTATTCAGATTGAATAAAGAGGCTGCTTATTTCTTTTTAAAAGCGATTTGCAGACTTTGAGTTGCATAAGGTTAAATTTAAACTGTCGGGGATCCATTTTCTGTTGTTGTCGAAGAAGCTCGAGAAGATGTTCAAATAGAACATATCAATTTACAAACTTCTGACTTATGCAAATTCAGATTCCATGATTTAGATATTCTGGACTTTTATAGAACTCTACCTGCCGAATTTTGGCAGTTAAAAGATAATGCAAGCAGATGTGCTACAATGTTTGGTAGTACTTATATATGTGAACAAACATTTTCTCTTATGAATCTAAAAAAGTCAAAATTATGAAATAAACTGACAAGTCAACACTTGCAATCTGTCAATCAACAACTAACTTTCAATCAAATATATAAAAAATTGTTGATAAAATGCAGTCTCAACCATAACACTAATATATTTAACTATGGCTAACTTGTACACATTTTTATTAAAATATTTGTATACGAGTATTAAATTATCATGCACAAGCGTAAATTGCATTTTTTTTTTTTTTTTTTTCCTTTTCTTTCTTTTTTTTTTTTTTCCCTTTCAAAGTGAACTCTGTGTTTGGCTCCAGTAGCACATGCAAAGGAAAAGGGAAACCCTATCCCTCTTTATCATCACATCTCATTACATACATACATAATGGTCTCCAAATTAATTAAAATTTGATATGGTACATGTCTAAATTGCAAACTAAGTGACTTATTGCATTGATCCCCCCCTCCCCGGCTCTAAAATTTTTTTCCATACACTCTTGGCCCTCAGTAACCAAGTCATTTCTGTTCATGTCCCTTCTGCTGAAAAGGTTGTGCATCCGTAATCTAGGGGACCATAACGTAAATAATAAGGAAATTTAACTACAATAAGACATTTATTTCTTGATGATTACAAATGTAGTTACCATGGGATAACTGGTACATCTGTACGATAGAACAGAGGCCATGAATGATATAAAAGCTGTAAGGCTTATCAAAAATATCACTGAAAACTGTTCTAGTAACCACTGAATAACACATGCAGACACTTGTTACAATATGTATATATTAATCGTTAAGCATTTAAGCATAAGAATTTTCTTTTTGCCTTGTTTTCTAATTTTTGCAGCTCATTGTGCGAAATACTTGACCACAAAGGTCTTTTTTAGTTTGTTCTCCTTTCTTTAATTATATATATATATATATATATATCTCTTCCACATTGCTGTTGATGAGATCATCAGAATCATTAACCCTTTCCGGCACGCTACTTTTTAAAGTTGGAATTTCAACCAAACAAAAAGAGGGTAGGGTACATGCTTATTTAAAAAATTATTCAGCACCTGAAAGGTTTGAGAAACTTTTAATCAGTATTTTCAAAATGAACAACAGATTAAAATCAAAATGCACTGTGGATTAAAACCTCATTTATTGTCAATGCATGATCTTTTATCATGTCAGCAGAATATGAAACTTTAATTTAAATAATATCTACTTCATCATCACAAGAAAAATTTAAATTAATATTATTAGTGAAATTTTGATGCAATTTAAAAAATGCATATCCTATCTTGTCTAAAAGACCATGCTGGCATTTTTATCATATGCTGCTTTGCATCAAATGAGGTTCTCAGCTGTATGTGTTACCAAAAAAAATAAACACTGCAACAATGTGAATTCAATTTTCATTCATAAAGTCTAAGATTAATTAATTATGTTTGTGGTAATAAAAGGCAGTACCACTCATTTCATTAAATTTAAATTTCAAATTCCTGTTTAAATGCATTATTTTAAAAATGCTTGGTTTAATTTTTAAATTGATTTTTGAAGCAAATAAATATTGTTTGAAATAAATTGTCATTTTTGTTGCAAATAATCCATTTACAGAATGTTGCATATTGAAGTAAACCAGGGCTTCCATGATGAAAGTGGACATTAAAAAGGTTTCCACTTAAAGAAAAGATTAAGAAATGCAGACCTCTATTGTGAGCTAAAAATCAACTAAACTTATTTTCTTTCAAAGAGATTTTCTGAAAATGATTTGCAATATACCGTATTTGACGGCATATAAGACACACCCTTATTTAGAAGGCCACACGCAAGGAAAAAAAAGTTTCAATAGTCCACGCTAACTAAAAATGTGGTTTCTTTTAGTTCTCACGTTTCGTAAAAGCCAAATAAACAATCATTGAATGCAATTACTAAACATATTTTTATGAAGGAAAATTAACAAACGGCAAGCTATTTTGAACATGATATGTAAATTTCATAATGAATAAATGAATGAACAGCAAGCAATCAAACATAATACAAAATAAACAAAAATAAGCAGAAAAAAACAAAAAAACACAGATTCAAGGAAAACATTGCCTATCATGAAATTAAGACTTTAATCACTTTCAAAACCATAAAAATCCTTTTCACTATCATAATCATCGAAAACGAGAATATCGTCATCACTACTGTTTCTGTCATCGCTAGTATCACCTTCTTTGAATAATGCGTCGTCTTCTGTTCTGTCGAGAGCATTATTGATTCCGCACTTCTTAAAGGACATAACAATTACTTCAGCCTTTACGTCCTCCCAAGATCTTTTTACTCACTCGCACACTTTTGAAATAGAAGGCCGCTTCATTGTACCTGAGGGTGTGAGGGCGTGATGTGGCTCTTCTATCCATTTGTTTTTTTTTTTTTTTTTTTTTTTCTTTTTTTTTTTTTTTTTTTTTTTTTTTTTTTTTTTTTTTTTTTTTTTTTGTTTTTTTTTCGTTTTTGTCCTCTCGCACTTTTTCCTTAAATGGCTTATTCACCAATACATCTAAAGGCTGCAATTGGCTAGTCATTGCACCAGGAATGACAGCTATCTGGCTTTTTAATTCTCTCGCTTTATTCTTTATGGTTTCAGTTCTATGGGCGCTAAACTGATCCAAAACCAAAAGAGAGGGTTTTCTTAAGAGTCCACCAGGTCGCCTCGCCCCATACGTTCTGTAACCACAGTTTCATTCCAGCTTCGTCCATCCAGCCTTTCGGATGAGCATGAACAATTACACCCGTTGGAAGTTTTTCTTTCGAAGGAGTTTTTCTTTTGAGTATGAAAAACGGCGGTAGTTTAGCGCCATCAGCACAACATGTTAGAACTACCGTATATCAGCTTTTTTTCATGACCTGTGGTTTTTATGTTTTATGACCTGTGGTTTAATACTCAGTCTTGTTGGATGGTACATCAAATGTGAGTGGAATTTCATCCATATTTCCTATTTGACCGAGCTCAAAAGAAGTTTTCTTGCGTGCATTTATAACAAACCTGTGAAATGCTAATATTTTTTCTTCATAATCTGCTGGCATTTTCTGTGCAATAGCTGTTTTTGTGTGCATTGATAAGCCTTGCCTTTTCATGAACCTGTAGCACCAGCCCTCAGACCCTGAAAAGCTCTGATTCCCATGTTTTTCTGCAAATCCTTTGGCCTCATTGATTATCCTTTTGGTTGAACTTTTATCCCAGATTTCCTCTTATCTATCACGCACACTTTTACGGCATTTTCTAGTTCAGGCCAAAATTGAACTGGGCATCGAAGGTTATGTTTTTGTTTTTTTAGGAGTCTTCAGTTAATCTTCCTGCAGTTGCCAAGTACGTATCATTTTTTCGGTAGGTGGTAGACCAAAATGCCTTGCTGGTATTCTCTTTCCATGCACTTTGGCGTAGTTTGACACTTCTAGTTTACAGTCAAAAGTCGTTATTTCGGACACCCATAATCTGGACCTCAAAGCTAAAAACTTTCTGCGCATGTGCCGCGTTGACGCATGCGCATAGGCATTTACGCGTGCGCGTAAGACCTTTACGACTGCGCATATGTGTGTGCACAAGCGCAGAATACGTTTTTGCATGCATGTTTAATGTATAACAAATGGTATAAGCCAAAATTATCTAATTATCTATTTCAGTTAATGTTGATGATTGCGTTGTTCCTTAATCTTCGAATTGGATCCGGCTTATTATTTTTTACAGACTGTAAGAGCAATTTTATAAAAGTTAAGCTTGAACTTTCGATTATGTCAAATAGAATTTCCGATGCTGGAGCTCTCGAAGGATCTACAAAACGAAAGTATGTTTCGATGTCCATCAAACAAAAAGTGGAATTGCTGGATAAAGGCATATCCTTTGTTTATTTATCTAACCGTTCCGAAATCTGTTTATCAATTTCACGCTGCTCTGCGCAGGGAGGGAGGTGGAACATCATGGCGCGCAATGACCTGGAAGTTGATCTGTCAGCACTATCGTTATCTTCAGGGCAGATGTTTTTATTTTATTCAGCTTATAATTACTTACTAAATGCAGTATTTCACCTCAATGTGCTCCGTCTTTGATATGATTTAAATCAAATTCCTCGTCATTATAAATATCACGAATACAAAATCAAATAGTTTTCTGGTTGCAATTTTCTAATTTCGGCTATGCGTAATGTATGCTTTACGCATGCGCGCGTTGAAAGAAATGTTTAATAAAGTAAACGGTTTCATGTTTTTAATTTTGTAATTTCTGCATGCCATCTTACCAGATTTAAACTGATGATCTATAATCCGAAAAAATCGATAATTCGGAATCGCCGAAGTCCCGACGAGTCCGGATTAAAGACTTTTGACTGTACTGAATTGTATAGTTTAATCTTTTGTTTCCTGTAGTCATATTTTCCAGGGTATTTTTTTAAAACAAATAGTTTTAAGCACCGATACTGACACGTTTCTACATAGTATCGATACCGACATGTGTGTTGCCTGAGTCAAAGAATGTAAAGAAGGAAAATCTCCATAGAGGTAATGTGACCGTCAAACCGGTTCGAGTTCGACATCAGCTTTGCGCTTTGGCGCTTTGTGGCGACAGATATTTCACGCATGCGCAAAATAATTATGGCAGATGTAGAAAAAGTTATGTGTGTCTAGACCTTTATCCAGGCTAAAAATAGCATTCAGTATTGAAAGTTAAACTGTGTCCTTCATGTATAAGACGCAGGTAACTTTTTTGAGACCAAATTTAGGAAAAAAGGGCATCTTAGATGCCATCAAATACAGTAATATCTATTTTTTGTCAGGTTTCATTAGTTCATTTTGTGCAAATGAAATCTTTGTAATTATGATAATTATACAATGTTTCCAAAATTCCCCAGACTGCTGGTGGAAACTGACAGTTTTGTATGTTACAGTATTTTGTGGAGATGATCTCAAAATTTATATGTGGCATTTTTAAGTACCAACATAATCTCAATTTTTAATAAAAATGGGAGGTGATAAAATGCATCTATATTACTGTATACTTTAAATTAAGGGGGATAGCCACTGTGGTACAATATGATTCTTCAGCAAAGCTTAAAAAGAATGCTATATTTGTTGATGTGTATATATATATATATATAAACACCCACTTTTGGAAGCTTAAGTAATAATGAACTGACATTCTTGATAAACTGCATCTGGAATGTCAAACTGATTTCAGAGCAATGAATATCAAAAACTTCTTTATAAAGACCCACTTTGTACACATGATATAGAAGATTGAGTGCATATTGTTTTTTATTGTTAATATGATAGATACATTAAAAATCAACATTTTTTACTATAAAGGATAAATGCTTCTACAGTGTGAAACTAGAAATTCAGTGTTTTCTTTTATTTGAATATGTGCGTTAACATTAATTTTTCTTTAAGCAAATAATTTATTTTATACATTTCTATGAGGATATTCTGTAGAAGGTTTTTTCCCCCCTATTTCTGTTATAGAAAAATGTTGCCATGGAAGTAGATTATGAATATATGTTTAAGATGTATATCATTAGCTAATCTTACATATGAATTCTTAACATATACTCACCTACTCTCTTGATTTTTCGAATGCACGCCCACCAACCCAATATACTTCTCCCATATTTCTCTTATTCCTAAAATTTATTAAAATTTTTATTTGTTTGGTTTAATATTTCATTATTTCCCAAAAATGTAGTTTCCTGTGTCAGAATCATCTGCTTTTTAATTTTGACTAGCCATTTTTTAAAAAAGAAAAGTTTCTTTAATTACTACTCCTGTGTCTATTCTCATCAGGAAAAGTTCTGTGACCTGCTTTGAAGGGCATGAAATAGAGTATTTTTAAAGACAAGTCCACAGAATTGTGTGTCCATGAATTGTCACTCATTAGTCATGTTTCTCTCATGGCTAATGAGAAGCTCATGTTTCTCATTAGCTGTATGTCTTCATATGATACTTCATTTTTCAGCTCTAGGACAAATAGATTTTGGATTCTCAACAGTGTTGAAATAATGTGATTTACTAATTATCTGAAAGTTCTTGTAATTGATTACCTGAGAATCTAAAATCTTCTGAATATGAAGGATTAAAAAAATCTTTAATTGTTGCAAAGTTTCACTCTGTCTTTTATCTTTTTTAACTGTACTAATTTTTTAAAATCCTTGTAGTTTTTAATACTGTATACTTTAAAGTAATTAATGCATATTTCTCTATTACATGAAATAATTTATTAGTATACATGATTTTTGTATTTGATTGAATAATATGAAATTTTGATGTGATTATTTATATTTTAAAATTATTTAATCATTATATTTAGGTTGTACCCCAACTCAGTTTCAGTGCAATAATGGTGAATGTGTCGACAGCAGGTCTCATTGTGATGGAATTCCTGACTGCAACGATGGATCTGATGAAAGAGATTGCCGTAAGGAAGTTGTTATTTAAATTCCTATTTTGAGATGCCATCTTTTCACTTACATAGTACCTTAATTATTTATTTTGCATTTCATTGAAAAATTTATAAGAATTGTGTAAGATTATAAGAACAGTCTAAAAGCTAATGTAAGATGGCTTATGTTGTTTTTTGCATATTATCTGTTTAATATGATGGGCTTGTTTTGTTTTGTTAGGGCGCAGCCCGGTCCACCTTGCAAAACAAAGTTTGCCCTATGACCATATATGGGCTACGCCATGATGGGCTTGTTATAAATTCTTGTAATTTTTTTATTATTGTTTTCTGATGTATTTGCGTATGCATGTGTAAATACATTAAAACAGGCTATATAAATTTCAGTGATCATATAATAAATTTGGCAGTTTTAAACTATTATATTCAAATTTTGTGAGTTAATTTTCATTTTAAAATTTAATATGATAATTTTAAATTATTATATAATTTGCATCTACCTAACATGTATGAATGATATTATAGTAATGTAATTTTGGGTAACTGTTTATGTTTTCTTCTAGTAGAGATCACTATCAAGTGCTAATGATCTAATATTATCTAATTGTGGCTAAAGTTCTTTTTCATTTTATTGTATTTGCTTAGTTTAAAGAAGCAAAACATTTTTGCAATAAGTGTGTTGTACATTTTTTGTGTGACCCTGTATAGGATGTAATTAAAAAGAAGAAAGAGAAGTCAGCTTTTTTGTAGGTCTGTTTTACCATGAGAGTTAAACTTCTCTCTAGTCTTGATTTTTTTTTTTTAATTGAAGCCAAAAGGAAATGGTACCAAAACTTTATAGTGTGCTAAAGGAAACTTTATTTATTAAAAATTTTTATATATAATTTTAATATCTAAAACAGAAGTATTTAATAGCTATTTATTTAGCTAATTTTTATCTGATTATTGTTTGTCTATTTAAAATGAAAATGTTTCTGTTTGTAAATGGAGAATGTTATAAATAATACGTGTTACTGAATTTGGGGAATCACTTTTAAATTACAGAATGCTGCTGACATATTTTTCATGAGAATGTATGCTGCCTGAAAGAAAAATAAGAACTTGGGTTTTAGGGTTTACATTTATAATTCTAATTAATATAAATTAATTCAACAAGTACTCATTTGTTTTGTAAAGGTTCGATTTTTTAGAAGTTTTAATACCAATTTTTCTGCTTTCTGTGCTTTAAATTTAATGTAGTCTTACTCCTAAACTAATAATCATTTCTCATTGCTTGTTCTAATAATTGCCTTTTGCTAATTCATTAATTGCATGATCAGCTTCAATCTTTATCTTCAATCTTTTATGCTAGCCTCTCTTTTACTAATATTCTATTAATACTTCTTTATGAACACATTTTATAAATAGAAGAATGTGATGCTGATGAATTTAGGTGTGGTGATGGAAAGTGCATTGAAGACACATTTCGTTGTGATGGATTATATGATTGTGCTGATTATTCAGATGAACAAGACTGTGGTAAATTTGCTTGAATCATTAACATAAAGAATTCATTGTTTTTAACAGCTTATTACTTTATTGTATTATTACTTGATGTACTTTCTGAACTTTTATATTTAATCAAATTTCTTACTCGTAATTCCTTAAAAACCTAATTTTCTGTGTTAATAAGTTTCCTAATATTTTTCACTTACTTAATGTGCATTGTAATTTACTCTTTAATTTATATATGAGAGCAAGTGACATGATAAGAATAATTTGAACTTTTTTAATTGATGAATTATTTTTGGTACTTAAAAAATAATAATTATCCATTGCCAAGTAAACTTATATGCAATAGTAAAAAAGCTCTTATTATGTTAAAAAAATTTAAAGTATAAGCAATAGGAACGCAAAGTTTACAGAGATTTACTACTGTAATCCAAAATGATTTTTTAGTTTATTGTACTTTCCTTTTATATCAAATCTGCTTTCAAAAAAAAAAAAAAAAAAAAAAAAATATTTGAGTACTTTTGCTGTTTCTCAAATTTTTCATTTGCATCCAGATATCATTTGATAATAATATGCAAAGTTTGACATAAATTATTGCAAAATTGTTTTGAATGAGAGAATTTCCCAAGAGATGGATTTAGAAGTATGGGTCAATCTTACGGCCATTCCAGTTTTCAGACAATACACTCTTTGCTTTCTTTTTGAAGAAAATGTCCATGTTCTACAAGTGATAAACATTCAGAACTTAAACCATAAATAATTGAAACATTTGAGACTTTTTTGTTATCAGATGTGGTGTATATATGGGCTGTTTAATATTAACAATAAAAGATCACACGTTTCAATTTGGTGATGAAATGATAAACATTTTTGGTTTTTACAGGATTATTTGCAAATTTGTTTTTCTATTGCTGATATGTTTTTCATAATTGCTATTTAAATGGATCAAGCTCTTTTGGGCCACCCTCAAGCTTAAATTTTTTTTCGGACTGTTAGTGTTTTCATGGAATACAATTATGTAATTGTATCTAAAACTTCAGTATAGTAGCAATTAATCTAACATGTTAAAGGATTTTGTTATAATTTATTAATGTTGTCTGCTAATTTTAGATGTATTCATATTTTTAATTAAGAAAAATCTGATAATAAGTACATAATTTGTTCTTGAATTTTGAATGTGGGATCTTTCACTAAACCACAGTTTTTCAACAGGGGAAATTTCATAGTATCAAAAAAGGGATTTCATTGACATCATTTTAGTAGTCTCAAATTGTAATAAAAAGCTAAGGTATAGTTTAAGTCATAATGTAATAAATCTTAAATTTATATGTTATGAGCTGAGATCATTGATATTTCTATAAATAATAAGTCCAGATTAGCAGAAAGAAAGGTACACTTAAAATCAGCACCCTAAGGAGCACTAATAATAGTTAGAAAATTCAAAGAGAATGGTTACATTAAGCAATTTCTTCCAAGTACTTGAAATGTATCAAAGTTCCCCAAATCATTCTCAGAGTAAACCCTAACTTGTAATTCAGGTAATTGCTAAAATATCACTGCTGATTCACAACTTAACTCCCTAGCTCCCCAAACTGTATTTATGCACTATAGAATGGGCTGTGGAAATTTTGGGAAGTATTCATGTATAGGGCTTCAAAAATCCATTTTCATAAATCTTCTAGTAAATCATTAAGGTGGCAAGAAATTGCCAAATGTTTGCTTGGCAACAAAATTTTAGGAACAAAGTTGCCCACATTTCATATTCTAATTGAGCTGTTTTTACAATTCTAATGTTGCTGCACTGAGAATTAAAATATCAACAATTCTGTATAGCAAGTGAATACTTAAATACCGTAGGTCTGGCCACAAATTAGATTAAACAGAAAATAAGCCCTAAAACTATTAACATGAAAACAATAAGTAAATAAAACGATACAGAAAAACAAGAATACAGGAAGGATTCAAATAGTTAGAAATATTTACAACAATATATAACTTTATAAAAGGCTAAAATGAAAATATTTTTTTGTTTTCTACTATTTAAAATGCAACACTAAAATAAAATTATGGGTAAAGAAATTTGGGATGGGAAAGAAGAATGATATTCTGACTTAAAAGTAAGGAGAAGGAGATAAATATTGAAAACAATTGCATTAGAAAAACTGATCAATAAATTCATTTCAAAATGTTTTCAATAAATTAATAAAATCAATAAATTCATTTCATTGCAGTTAAACATTTTCTTTTAACATTTCTTTTGTGTACTTATGTGCAGGCATTTTTTACTATTATTTGCTAATGTAAATGAGATATTTCTGGAAATTTAATAACTTTTAAAGGCGAAATTTTAGATTTAAACAGTATAATTTTGCCAAAATTCTATTAATCTTGATTCTAAGACCTTGAAAATAATTAATTCCGCATATTAACTTTCATAGTAATGCAATTTTCTTTCTCCACGTGGCGAATAATTTGCATGTTAAATAATAAAAATAATTCTAACTTTCCTTCTGTCTCTTTTATATAAAATGCTTTTCCTTCTTTCTCTCTTACCATTTCCAGAGACTCGTCTCTGTCGGCCCTCTCAGTTTCGTTGTGTAACAGGTTTATGCATCGACAGGGCAAAGTACTGTGATGGTCTTCCAGACTGTCCTGACAGATCTGATGAACTGGATTGCTGTATGTGGTAACAAGTCTTTGTTGTGTTGTGAATTAGCATATGCATTAACTTAAAATGGTTGTCCTGTTTTCTTTGTGGATCTTATGTATCAAATTAAGGAGTTTTAATTTAATTACATCTGTAATTTTTCTCATTTCTGTTAAATACATTTCCTCTAGTTTATTTTTTATTGATGAATGATTTGAGTTCTTTGTTTTTTTTAAAGGGGCTTGTCAACCAGGTCAGTATGTTTGTGCTAATGGACAGTGTATTGAACGATCCCAGAGGTGTGATGGTACATTTGATTGCAGTGACTATTCAGATGAATCTGATTGTGGTAAGTTTTTTATTCGCATGAATTCATTTCATGGACACTAGTGTGATGAATCATTAAAATCTTTTATTTATTTATTATTTAAGTATTTAATATATTAAACATTTCATATTATTGAGGAATATAATATTCTGAATTATGATTTTTACATTTTAGCTCCTGAGGGTGGCATTAATATCAAGGTATACCCAGAAAGACAAAGTATCAGGCAAGGTGAGAAAATGCTCTTTTCATATTTTCTTCTAAAATATTTTTGCATCAGATTTAAGGTATATTTCTCTGCACCCATTTTTAGATGTTTGAATTAGAAGATTACTTTTTCAGTATTCAGTAAGGTAACATTTATTCACAGAGATAGAAAACATTATTTCTAGGAAGTGACTTAGTTATGCTTTTTTAACAACAGGACAAACTTTTAAATGATATACAGTCAAAAGTCGTTAATTCGGACACCCATAATCCGGACCTCAAAGCTACAAACTTTCTGTGCATGCGTCACGTTGGCGCATGCACATAGGTGTTTACGCGTGCGCGTAAGACCTTTACGGCTGCAAATATGCGTGTGCGCAAGCGCATAATACGTTTACGCATGCGCGTTTAATGTATAACGGACGGTATAAGCTAAGCTAATGTTATCTAATTCAGTTAATGCTGCTAATTGCGTTGTTCCTTAATCTTCGAATTGGATCCAGCTTATTATTTTTTGCAGACTGTTAGAGCAATTTTATAAAAGTAAGCTTGAACTTTCGATTATGTCAAATAGAATTTCCGATATATATTTACTAATATGTAAAGGATCTACAAAGCGAAAGTATGTTTGGAAATCTGAAATCTGTTTATCAATTTCACGCTGCTCTGCAGCAGAGAGGGCAGAAACGCCGTGGCGTGCAATGAATTGGAAGTTGATCTGTCACCACCATCTTTATCTTCAGGGCAGTTGTTTTTATTTTATTTGGCTTATAATTCCTTACTAAATGTAGTATTTCATCTCGATGTACTCCGTCTTTGATATGATTTAAATCAAGTTCCTCGTCATTGTAATTAGTTTCCGATAGTGAAGAAAGTGACAGAGAGGTTATTAAAAACGAAAACATTTCGATTGACAAATTAGTCAGTATTCTCGACACACCAATTATAGGACTTGAACAGCGGAACTTTGTAACTAAACAAGAAATTATGTCTGTTTAATAGAATTAAAGAGAAAGTATTGTCACATGAAATGAAGCAACTTAAACAACTTACATTGAAAGAAATGTTTAATAAAGTAAACAAATAAATATTAAGCTTTTTTTTTCTTTTTGTAACATTTTGATACCCTTTAGATCATAATTGTTCTTTATTTCATAAATTACGGTTTCATATTTTTAATTTTGTAATTTCTGCATGCCATCTTACCAGATTTAAACTGATGATCTATAATCTGGAAAAATCGATAATCCGGAATCGCCGAATTTCCGACGAGTCCGGATTAACGACTTTTGACTGTAAAAGAAATTACTGATAGTAGCTCATCATATTAATACTAACAGTTACATCTCCTATAGAGTAAATATAAGACAAAATATAAATTTTTGTGTCTTATATTTACTAATCTTTTTGTGTCTTATCTGTCTTATATTGTCTTATATTTTTAGTCTTTGTTATTAGATAAGACATTTTGCAATTGTCATACTATTCATATTATTGATGTACCTGAGAATACCTCTTATTATTTAATAGACCACATGTTAGGTTATTGTTACATTATAATGTCATGTAAATTTTTTAAATACCGTATATACCGCTTATTAGTCGAGATATTTTGGACAAAAAAAAAACTTCAAAGTGGGGAGGGAGGGTCGACTTATATGCGGGGCCATAAAAAATTAAAAGAATCGGAAGTTCAAAAATTTCTTTATATAATGCAGTTGTTTTCTTCCCGCACTCAAATTGGACGACTTATCAAATAAGTCACTTACTTGAAGTAATTTCATGACTTAAATTATGTGATGAACTAATCACAGAGTTTCATACTTTAACTAAAGTAAGTTTCAATTAAACCAAAGAATTTTCGGCCCCCGAACAACCGATCAATATCGAGCAATAAAAAAGTTTTTACAACACGCCAAGAAAAGAGAAATGCAGATAGTTTTTACGTACGTATAAGTCATTACAATAGTTATTGTTCATTCATGAAATACTTTTGTTAACAGGTGTACATGTCAAAATTAAAAAAATAGCCCACGCAATAAATGAACTGTTTTGAATACATCTTTTAACTTTTAAAAAGGGAAAATGCAGATAGATTTTACGTATGCGAATCTTTTCCAGAATAAGTTGTAGAAGGTTACTATATACGATACATTTTTCCCCAATTATCCTGTGTTTTGGATATGTTGGCGATGCTTTTGCCTGCTGGATGCTGATTGGTTGTTCGGGGGCAGAAAACTCTTCCGTTTAACGCCCAGATTCGACGAATTCTTTGCTAGAATCACGTGCCCCACTGTTAAATCTTACTCACTCTTGTCAGTATGTTTTTGTTTCCCTTCTTGTTTCTGTTGATATGGCTGATTTATTGGTAGTTAATCTGATTTGGAAGCAAAGGTTATGGAGTTTCAAAAATACATTATCGATGTAAGAAAACGGAATTCTTTTGAACTTTCCCAAATAGGGAATATGGACGAAACCCCCATGTGTTTCGATCTGCCAGAAAATAAAACAGTTGACTGCAAGGGGAAAAAAAGCATTTTGATAAAAACAACCAGGCATGAAAAAACCCATTTTACGGTCGTTCTTTCATGCTTGGATGACAGCAGTAAGCTTCATCCTTTGATCATTTTTAAAAGAAAAACTTTACCGAAAAACGTTGTGTTTCCATCAGGTGTGCTAGTTCGCGCCCATGAAAAGGGATGGATGGATCCTGACGGAACAGTCGATTGGCTTAAAAATGTGTGGGATAAAAGACCGGGAGCAGCTTTCAAAAAACCTTCTCTTTTACGATTAGCATACGATTCTTTTACGTGGACACTTTTCTGAAGAAGTGACAAAAGTTGACAAAACACCTAAAAACGACTGTGGCCGTAATTTCGGGAGGATTGACATCCGTCATTCAATCCCTAGATGTCTGCCTCAATAAAGCCCTTCAAAGTAAATGTTAGAAAATATTGGACAGAGTGGATTAGTTCCGGTCGACCTGACATTTATAAAGGGAGGCAACATTAAAAAGCCCGATATTACATTAATTGCTCAGTGGGTTAAAGATGCTTGGAACGAAATACCCTCTGAAATGATTATAAAATCATTTAAAAAATGTTGTATTAGCAACGAACTAGATGGCATGGAAGATGATGCTGTTTTTGAAAGTGAAAATGACAACGAAGGCTCTAGTAGTGATTGTAACAATATAGAGTTCGAGACTGAAAATATGCATGATGACGAGCCAATGATGACAGAAGAGTTCTATGAAATGTTTGGCGAATCTGACCATGAATCGGACGTTGAGGGATTTTGATTTTGTTTATTTACCAAGGTATTTTTTATTGTATATTTACTTTTTTTCTCAGATGGTTTTGAATAAATGTAGTACTTAAAAAAAAATTTCGAAGTTTCTCGATTGTTTTCGGAGGGGGGGTTTCTTATTTTCTACGAATTTTTTATGTCAAAGTGGGGGGGGGGCTACTTATATGCAGGTATATACGGTATTACTTTCTCTGCTATTAAAGCCTTTCTCTGCTAAGCTTTCTCTGCTATTAAAGGCAATTTTATTAGAAAATTTGTTTGCTACTTCTAAATGCATGGGAAGTGTAAAGGCATTTGTTAGTTTCTTCTGAACTTAAACCAGTTATATTATAATTAGAAAATTGTAACATTGCTACTGAAGGATCAATATTCTAGTTTGCTAAACTATAGTTGTATTTTTAATTATAATTAGTAACGTAAAACGATATACTGATTTACTTATTTACTGGTTTGGCCTTATTAAATGGGAAAAAATTTAGTATTCTCAAAAAAGAATTTAATTTAATTTAAAAAAAAAGTTTAAAAGAGTTGTAAATGACTTAAGTGAAACGTTTGAATAGTGAAAAGTATTGAGACAGTTTAAAAAAGATTAAAAAAATTTAATTTTGAAAAAGGAATGCATAGCACTGAAGGTGAAAAAAAAAAAAACAGGAGGCTTTTCAGTAATTCACTGACAGTGAGATTTGGAATTAAAATTAAATTCATTTAAAAATGATATGAGAGACATTGTGGAATTTAACCAGGAATGGATATTTTCAAAGTTTGTGATACTGGATATTAATGCCTTAAATTTTAAACAGAACATTTCATACTTAGGACTGATGAAATAGTAATTGATTAATCCTCACTGAGAAATTGAATTTTATTGATGTATAATAATAATACTGAAATGTATGACAGTTGTAAATATTTAAATTTTGATAAGTTCTAACATTTAACTGAAACTATTAATTTATTAATTGCTGAAAGAAAGTACTGACCAAAAACAATACTAAGAAGTTGAAAAATTGAAATTAGTAACATTTTTAAATTTTTAAATAATGCTTAGTTTGCTCAGTTATTAATGAAAATTTGTTGATTAGTTAATTGTTTGAAAATATTAACCAGCAAGAAATGAAGAAAAATTGAAATCAAATGCTGACATAATATATATTACTTCAAATATATTTGTCGCGGAAATATACATCTGCGAGAAAAATATTTGCAAATGTTTCATATGAAGTCTTGTAAAAGAAAAAGTAAAGTAACATTATTTTCATGTGCAATTGACTATAAATAAGTAAAAAATGGCATTGTTATTAGCATAATTACATTTATTAGCATATATATATATATATATATATATATATATATATATATATATATATATATATATATATATATTTTTAGCCCGGAATTTATACCTTGAATTTAAGATCTCAAAATTTTTATTGAACTACTGCTCAACCTATATCCATTCAGAAGTTTGAGATTCAGCGATCTTTTGTGTAAAATAAGATTTTACAAATAATTTTTGCAGTTTCAAATCGATAGATTTTTAAATTGGCTTTGTTTTGTTTTGGGAAAATAGCAATCTTGAGTAAATATTTGTTAAATAAGAATTGTTTTCCAAAAAGAATTTTGTGTCTATGTATGGCTATAATAAAGTTATTAAAATATGCCTAAGATAGGTATGTTTCATCTGAAGTAATAAGAAAGATAAAAGCCTACAACATAACATGCATTTTCAGAATAGTTTTCAAAAGTATCAGTAGTTTTGATACATTGGTTGATACAATTGTACATTATATGCAAAATTCACGAGATAGATTTATCCATGTCATATTTCTTAAGAGCTTCTAGTAGACGAAATTCATATTATATGTATTTTGAATCTCGGATAATGATAAACAAAAGAAACAGTGCTAAGAAATTAGAGGTGCACAGAGAAAGATTAGCACTTTTCATACACAGCGGCCTTTACGTACAGGCTAACAGTCTTTAAATGCTGTGTAGAAAGCGTGAAACATAAGATCAAAATGGTTCTCACTGGAAATGTGATCAACAAATATTATGCATTGTTGCTGTGCATGAGATCATTGATGAGCTCTTATGGTATCCCTTTTCATTAATCTGTCAGCACTTCTTGAACTGCTAGATATTGGCTTATGGATTTAAATGTATTTCTTTCTGAAGTTCTCATTGTGTCCCACATATGTTTAATCAGATTTAGGTTAGGAGAACATGCAGCCACTCGAGAGAAATTTATATTTCACGAACTATTGCATATTGTTGCCATCCTTCAGGAGGAACTTAGGGTTAATGCACCCCTTGAAATTTGTATATGGGGCTAGGCAGTAATTATAAAACTCCTCACTGATAATTAGAATACCTTCTTCCAGTATCTGGAATATGTATCCAGCATAATACCTGTCTACATGAGAACACTTCGGCCTATGTTAATACATGTATTCCACTCAAATACTGTGTATGGATAATACACTCATTTGCATTTTGCTTGTATGACATGGCCCTTTTCCATGCTGCTTATTGCCATCTGCTCTGTTGTGCCTGATCTTGGCCAACATCTTGATAAGCTTTCACTTGGTGCCACTAATGTTCAAGATGTCCTACTGAGTTTCCTCTCTCATTTTTAAGTTCTGCACACCATTTTTATATTTTTAGAATAATAATATATTTCTTGGAGAGACACATACTTTTTTAAAGCTTATAATTTGTTATTTATTTCCTTAATTTAGCTTTTCTGTCCATTTTTTCTAGGACGTGAAGTGGTTTTCCGATGCCGAGATGAAGGCATGCGCAGGTCTCCTGTGAAATGGATTCGAGCTGACAACCGTCCTATGCCTCCAGGAAGCACAGATAGAGGAGGTCGTCTCACAATGCCAAATATTCAGCCAGAACACAGTGGTGTTTACATATGTGCATCATCTACTGCATCACCCAGTACATCTACTGCACAGAAAGCAGCATTCCTGACTGTTCAACCATGTAAATATGCTGATTATTGTGACCTAGCCAAAATTTGGGCACTACAACGTAGATTTAAATAAACTGTAGCAATTAATTTGTTTTTAAAGATTTTATTAAATGAAAAAGTCATAAGTTTTCTCTTTTCAACTAATGTTTAACCTTTTTTTTTTTTTTTTTTTTTCCCCTAACATCCCTAAAAGCTACAATCCTGAAATTATTTTAAAAAATTTTCTTTTATTTTCTGAAATTTTATGATAAAAATATGGTACAAATATAAGCCTTTATGTGCAGGTTGTAAACAAAAGGTTTGAGTTTCTTTAATTTTTTAGCATAGTGGAATGTACTTTTTAAATACATAGTTTTAAAATTAACTTTAATGACTTTTGATTTTATAAATAAAAAATTTATATCTTTTTCTAACAAAATTCCTTTATATTAGCAACTGGATGATGACCAGATTTATTTTTATGCATAAGCATTCTTTTTAATTTTGACAAACTAATTTCATTGTTGTTTGATAGATAAACTGTTATTTAAATATGAATCACCTAATGAATAATGGTTGTAAAATGTCAGTAAAAAAGGCTCATAATCTTTAATCCTAATAATTATCATTCCATATAAAATTATCAAATGATTATTTATCATAAAATATATACATCTTATTATAGTTTTATGTTTTTCAAAATTTATTTACATTTACTGTACTACTTCTCATTTAAGCCAATAAATTATTTTTGCGAAAAGAAGAATTACAAATATCTATACATTGTAATGATAAGTGATATATGCTTTAATTATGCCTTATGTAGAGACTGAAAATGTGGTTTACTACTGCTTTAAAATGCATTTTATAATTCAAATCTGTGATATTTTATCTTTATGGGTTCACGTAGCTACACTTACTACGTGTCAAGTATATCCTTTTTTGATGATGTCCGTATTTCAAATTCTATTAAACATTTGTTTTCTGATAGAAGTAAGCTACTAATATTATGAGAAATTTGGGATAATGAGTTGGTTGCCAATAAGTGCAAACAAATTAATTTTTTATTAACATCTATGAGATTTAATTGAAATTTATTATTTATTTAAAATTTTGAAGTAGACTCTGTGTATAAATTGGATGAAAAAATGGTTTCATTACATTAAAGAAAAAATACAGCTCATAAATATTTTGATATATTAAAAAAGGGTAGGCCATATGGGTGCAAAAATGTGTTGTGCAGTTTCATTAATCATATGCAATATAATATTCTTTTTATGGTCTATGTGCTTCATGTGCCACTAGCTGTGAGTATGGTAAATACATCAGCACCTAAAAGCACTTGTATGTGTTTTTTTAATTTTATAAATCACAATGTGATTATTAAGGTATTTAAAAGTTTATCATGAAGATGAGAAATTTTTTTTTTTTACATTTTGTACTTTGGAGCATTCTAATGCAATTAATCGGCATTTCCTAGAACTTGATCATTAAAGCATTTTATTTTGAAGTTTGAATAAATTCATAATATTAAATGAAAACTGGACATTATCCTACATAATTTGGCAGCATAAATCAATTTTAGACTTCAAAAAAGCTGAATTAAACTAATAAATTTATACCAGACATTATTACAGTTTGAAGAAAGTTACATAGTCTCATTATTTACTTGTTCAATTTGATGAATTTTTATAAAATACTTTTAATATTATTTATTACACATTTCCCCCCTCATTCGACTTGTTTAATTATAGATTTTTGCATACTTGAAATTTAAATTTAGATGTGTATTGTGATGACTATGCTAAAGAAAAGTACTTCAAATTGTGGTGGGGAGAACAGGCTGTAAAATTTTGAGTAATCTGAAATTTGCCAGCAGTGCTGCTGTTTATATTCTTGATCAATTTGTTTAAATGGAAATTTGTGTATTTGATGTTTTTTCAAATTAAAAAATTTCAAAGTCTCCACTAACTGTGTTTTTATCCCACTTTTATTCCAATTTCTTTTTCTTTAAACTCTCAACTTTTTTATCTTAGAAATAATTTAAGTTTAAAATTAAGTTTTTTAAATTTAAGTTTATATGTCTGTTTACCTTTTATCTTGTAGTGATGATAATGTGATGAAATTTTAAGCTGTCATTTTTGCTCTTTCATCTTGTAACCTATCATATTAATTCCATTAATTTTATAATAGTGGAAACTCTTTTATAACTGCAAAACTTGAATTAACATGTAGCCTGGCAAATGGTAAATTTTTAATTTAATAGCTTTTAATCTGAATGCCTGATTTATAATTGAAAATCAAAAATAAAAAGAACTAATGTTTTGGGGGGAAGTCAAACACATTATTTAAAAGAGTTATATTGCATTTTTTTTGTATTGCATTAAAAAGTGATAGAAATATACTAGTCAGCTCCTTTGAATTGCTGTAACTTTGATCTTAACAGGTATATCTATATAACTGAACTGCTTTTCTTTATTATGACATTTTATATATTTTCTAACATTCATAAATATGGTTTTTATTATCTATTAATGGAATGATTTCACTTTTCTTGCTTAAAAAAATAAATTTTTAAGTACTAATTTTAATTTTTTAAGCACTAATTTGCATCTAACATTTTTAAATGAGAATTTGCTAAACTAATTGTTTAACATCTGCAGTTATTATCTGTGTGTTAGCTTAAAGTTGAATCCAGTCTTTGTTTGTTGTATTTGATGTGTCAGCTTGTTGCTAGTTTTAGTGTATTAACAAAAATCAACTTGCTCTGTAGCTGTTCCTTTCTATGGAACGTCTTTTCCTCATGTAGAATCCAAAGGTATGATTCTATTTTTTAGCATAGCATGCTCTGTATGCATGCCATTGCAAACATTTTGTAATTTGCATGCTCATATTTTTGCTGTAAAGTTATTGGAAAAAATAATACTATATGAATAAAACATATTTTTCTGTTTTAGTTGCTTTGTCATTGATTTGACTTTTACTTATTTTCAAGTAGCATTTTTGTTCACTCTCTGTGTAACTACAAACCATATAATTTTATCTTTTTTTTTCTCATTCTATTATTCATGTTTGACAATGCATGAATAAGTAAATAATTATTGAAAATTAAATTTTGGTATAATTATGAAAAAAATTAACTGCTTAAAAATTTATTATTTAATCAAGTATATCATCTGTGTCTGAAGATATGTGTTTTAAATTCTAATTTTGAATTAAATCTAATTCTAGTCAGAAATATTATGACACAGCTAAACAAGTATGCCATTTAAGCATTAATAAAATATTTTGGTTGTGTATAATTTGCATGAAAATCTCTCTTCATAATTCCCTTGTAATTTATATTACAAAGTATATTACAAATTTCCTTGTAACAAAATTATTTTTGCTCTTATTTATCAAAAAAGTAATTTTTTACTCTGTATGTACTTAGTTCCATAGTTATGTTAATTAGAGAAATTAAAGCTATTAATTCATAACATGAGTATAAATTAGGTATTTGGAAAATGCATGCTGATCCAAATATTAGTAATTTTGCTATGCAAATATTTTAGTTGTCATAAGAATCTTGAAATTCTAAATCTATGACACTGCTTTTTCATTGTTAACTATAATAGTCACCACTGTTCTCAATTTATAAAATATTATTTCAAGTTTAGATGAAAGATGAGCATTGACTTTTATGACATATTTGCTGTATCCCACATTACTTCACTTGTAGACAGTATTTACTCTCAAATTTTTCAGATAATTCAGCGATAAGCCATCATTTTTAGCGAAGATGACCAATCATTTTTCCAGATCTGATAGATTTTAATTTCTGATTATTGAGTTATTCAAAATCATGAGTATGCAAAGGTTTTCCAGTCTCATTGGCACAATTAAAATGTCCAGTGGTAACTATCAATAAGAAAAAACTAGGAGCACTGTAGTAAACTGCATGGAAGATGCAAACAATGTAAAAATGTTAAAACAAAAATAGGAAAAAAGTAATTTACATATTTCATTGCATCATCATTAGGGGGTTGGTGCTATGAAAGAAGTCAGTACGTTGGCCTGTTTCTGAATTAACAAAGACACAAATTAAAATTTAGTACTTAAAATAATCTCAGAAAATTAATCAAAGTAACTGTGTCTTTACCAGTCTAACCTCTACAAGCAGAGTAATTTGTGCAAAAAATTGCAAAGTCATAGTATCAAAACCTTAAAAGGCTTAAAAATTTATTTCCCCACCCTAAATTGGATCTTGATCTGTAACACTAGAGTAACAGTTGCTTTGAAATGAAAAAATTAATACAACATGCTCAGTAAGGTAAGACTGGTGCTAAGCCTAACATGTGGTAGGTAATGAAATTAAACAAATTTTAAACTGATTAGTAATTTAAAAATAATTAGAAGAAACTTTAATGTAACACAAAGCATGATAAAGTAAAAATGTAAAATTTTGTAATAATAAAAAAAAAAAATTATATTGCTTAGATTATGAATCCGAAATCCAACTAAAAAAGTCACTTGCTACCCACCAAAAAATAAAGTTCAAGTAATGTTTTAGTTCATTTCATTTAAATAAACGAGAGAAGTTGCAGTGCTAAGCATGAATATATTTTCGAAGAAGTTTCAACAAATTTTGAAGAATAAATAATTTCAACAAAGTTAAAAAAATAATTGAGATGATTAATAAAAGTGTGTGATATTTAAAATGTGATGAAGATAGGATAGTGTCTGGTGACGATGAGCAAAGTTGTGAGCAATTTTAGAAAATGCAAATGAGGAATTTAACAAACCATTGCAAGTTATAGGTAACCTAAAAGAGAAAAAAGACTGAAAATGAAATAAGTTTTGAAATCTTACCGAATATAGAACTCATTCAAAAAAGCATTCTTGAAACATTGAAACTAACATAGTCCTATTTTAATAATAAAAGAGGCAAACAATTATTATACAGTCTAATCAAAATTAAAACTAATGTAAGAATTTTAACAAAAATGCTTACTTTCAACTGTCTTAAGAAGATTCAGACTGATTCCAATTG